CTCTGTCTACGGCACTGGACCAGGCATGCATGGCTGATGCTTGTCCAGACTGGCAGAGTCACTGGCCTGGATAGTGAACACTCACAGCCCTAACACGTGCACTTCTGAAGGATTTCTGTCCATAAGGTGACTGGAGGAGAAAGCTACTCCCTCAGAGGTCACAGCATCATGCGAGGAACTTGGGGCCCCCATGGTGCGTCATCTGTGGAGAAGAGCTCAGTCTGGGAGTCACTTGTCAAAATAACCCTTGGTGCTAGGCAGGCTCTGGGGCATGTGCCCTCTCTCCAATTGGCGTCTGACCCACAGGGGTGGCCGTGCCAGAGACACCCCTCGCCCTCCAAGGCCGCAAGCACAACTAGTAGCGGTTACAAATAAATTATTGTTAGAAATTCTTGCTCTAAGCCAGCTGACTTCACCGTTCTTAGACCATTTGTTTTAAGTGTAGTTCCCATGCAGTTCCTAATCGGTGGTGCATACATAATTTATGGCTTCTATTTTCAAAGTGCTATCAGAAATCCATCAGAATACAGACACACCCGCTGTTATAAGTGACCTCACGGAAGCCGTCATCCATTCCCTGCTAGCCTTTCACAGGGGTCTCGGAAACAGCTAACGTCCCTTTTATGCCGGTTGTTTTGCTCAGGTTGCACCACAGCTGGATGAAATGTTAGCCAGGGTTACAGAAGAACACTCCATGCTGGAACTTTGAACTGAGGATGAATCATTTAAAATATAGTAGCACTCAGCAGTGCTGTAGCACAGTTGAGATTTCAACATATCAGAGGACTTCTACCATCCAGAGAGTGTTGGGAAATTTGTCCAGTTGGCAAGTCTAATTAAATTCTTACCATGCAAGCCCCTTTTTGATATTTATTGACTTTTTTTACTATATTACATAATTTGGTTGGTTAACACTAGAATGTGATAATTGATTTATTCATGTATGACCGATACCTTCATTAAGTCATTCAGCAAATATTTATGAAATGCCTACTGTGTGCAGTCATCATGCCAGGTGCTGGTGTTACCATGATGGGTAAGTCTCTATCCCTGCCTTCAAGGTATTTTTAGTCTGCCACATTCTCATGTTTTAATTCTCCCTAGACTCTAAAAGATGGGCAGTACGTCTCACTGTAATCTCAGTGCCCTACTGACTACCTTGCAAACAGTAGGTATACAGTAAATGTTTGTTGAATAAACAAATAGAAGAATAAACTAAAAAGCAAATGCGTGAACTTAGAAGCAGAAGTGGGACAAATATTTAAAGTTCTAGGTTGCCCAGAAACCAGGAAGCAGTATCCATTTTTCTCTCTTGGAGTTGTGAAAACAAAAGAGATATACTCTTTGACCCATTCCTGCTCTTGGGCTCCTGCCCAGCCTCCACTACCTGGCACTTCCTGGGAACATGTTTCTCCCTCGATCTTTCATTTGTTCGGTATGAAGAACAATCTAGGTCAGCACAAGTCTGGGAGTGGGGTGTTTGTCTTAAGAGCAGTGACAATCAGAATTGCTCCTCTCCCAGTTCCCAAAGCAGGTCACTTACCTGTTCCTGGTAAATGTTGAGATGAGATCCTTCTAATGGCTGCCTTTCCTTCTGTGATGTGTTAGACCAAGCCTTTGCTCAGGGGCTCCAGAAATCGGGCTCTCACCAGCAGTCTGTGTTCTCAGTCCACTGTGTAAATGAGCTGGGTCTGGCTGGGACGCCAGATCAGTCCACATTTCTCTAATGATGGCCAGAGTCACCTTTGTCCCACCAAGTGGGAGCCCGAGCCAGTGACCTCTCCACAGATTCAGTAGGACACCGAGGAACCTAACTTTGCGCACCACCTCCTGAACACTTGCCTGCAGAGACGACCAGGAAGAAATGGGTATTTCTCCACCAAACTGTGCCAAAAGTTCTAAGACACGAAAAAAAAGATGCAACATATTGTCACTTCTCTCAAGGAAGACCATCAGTGTGGACATCTCTATGGGTGCAGAGCATTGCAACTTGTAAGTCACCTTACCTTCAGGATGGCACTATATATCTCCGTTGATTTAACTAAACACTCACCTACACGGTGACAGGCAGCAAATCAAGTGGCACAGCTGAGGCTGGGCAGCCCCTTCTTGGAGAGCTTCACAATCACAAGAGGAAATGGCCAGCGTGTGCAGTGCTGTGGAGGAGCGCACCCCTGCAGCTCGGGAGGGAAGGAAGAGCAATCTCCCTGACTGCACAAAGGAGACGGAAACGCAGGGCTTAAAAGCCCAATCTCTGGGGCAGATTTCGCCACGGCCACGGGCCGCCCTCTGGCCTCGCGCTTCGAACGTTCCAGTGAGCGAGGACACGTCGCATCAGGCAGGTGGTCAGGTGAAGGAACCGCAGCCCTTGTCCCAGAGCTCAGCCGCCTGGCCTATTCCCCAAAGCTCCTGGCCACACTCTTTGCCCCTTGTGGGACTCTGCATTTCCCCTCTTCATTGAATATTTGTTCCCCTCCCCCAAATCGCTGTTGAAAATCTAAATACAATAGTCCCTCCTTACCCATGGTTCACTTCCCTGCTCTCAGTTACCTGAAGTTAGTGTGCTGTGAAATATTTCAGACTAGGTATTCTGAGGCTGGGGGGAGGAGAGCTATAGTCAGACTTTTTATCACATTACAGTTCTGATTGTTCTGTTTTATGCCTAGTTAGTGCTGTTAATCTCTGACTGTGCCTCACTTACAGATGAAACTTTATCCTAGGTATGGGTATACAGGAAAAACCATACTCTGTCTAGGGTTCCCAGCTGTGCAGCTTCAAGCATCCATTGGGGGGCCTAGACCATGTCTCCCAGGTCTGCGGGGCCCTGCTGCACATAATGTGATTGTGTGTTTGCTGCTCGCCACTGCTTCCAAGACTAATGAGGACATTGCCCCCATCCCGAATCAGGCTTGAGAGCGCCCGGGTCCCGGGGGCATAGCCAGTTGAAAGTGGCCCCAAGTGCAACACTCGAGTGCTCTTGAGTTCCCAGCGTCTAGGTAACCAGGCTTTTCAGTACACAAAGCCTCACCCTTGAGCCCCAGAGACTCTGACTAGTGAACTTGAAGGCAGGACACAGCACTTGAAAACACCTGTTTCATCCCAAAGCCACCCTGGGCTACATTTTGGGCATGGAGTGGAGTGTTCCCCACTTCCTCACCTTCCACAGGGAGTGGGGCACTTTTCTAAATTCCAGCCCTAGAAGGAGAAAGATCAGGGGTACTCTAGGCTCTCTTGAGCCCCTCAGTCCCCAGCAAGGAAAAGTGTGGTCTCTGATAAATGCTGTGGGGTCAGGGGAGCAGGACTTACTTCAGGCTCATTTTCTTTGTTTCAGAGGACCTGGCCTCAGCACTTAAGGATGAAACTGTGTCCATCTAAAAAAGATGTTCAAGTCCTGACCCCCGCAACCTCAGGAAGGGACCTTATTTGGAAATGGGGTCTTTATAAAGGGAATCAAGTTCAGATGCAGTCATTAGCACAGTCCCTAATCCAGTGAGACCCATGTCCTTAAGAACGCTCGATGTAGAGATAGACCCTCATGGAGAGAAGGCCTTGTGAGGAGCCACCAGACCTGCAGGGAGCCGGAAAGGGTCATGCCCCCTTGAGTGTCAAAGCACCCTGTCGACACCTTGAATTCAGATGTCTGGCCTCTGCGTGGTGGGTCGTAGTTTTTGTGTCCCACCTAGCGGGAGGTCCTTAGTTTCAACAGCCCTAGCCAGCTGGTACACGGGACGAGCATGTTTTCTGCTCAGTGGTCTGTGACTTGCCTGCCCCTACAAAGCAAGCCCACTGGTCCTGCTGGGCCTGAGACAGAGGCTTGGGCGCAGATGCCCGCCATCAGAAGAAGGCCTTTGCCACTGCCATAAGCGGCGACAAAGCCAAGTCGGCGGAGTGCGAGGGCTCAGTCTCGGTCTCAGCCCTCAGTCTCAGAGGGCTCGAGCAGGCCTTGGAGAGTGGGTGGGTGTGATGTGATTTGCACTAAGAAACTGGGTCCTCGTGGCATTTCCTCAGAGGTAAGAGTGATGGGTGCTTGCTATTCATAAGAAACCCTCTTTCTCCATAGCTGAGTCTGTTAAGGAGTGGACTGGATGGGGCTGGTTGCTAAGGAAACTGAGCGTGAAGCGGGGCTTGGGGAACACAGCGTTTTGAGGAGAGTGTGAGAAAGGAATGCTTCTTCCCCACACCAGGCCCTATGCTCTCTTCCATCTGAGTAAAATGTGTCTCTGGGTTCAGTAAGTTGTTGTAGCAAGTTAATCAAACCCAAGAAGGCGTCCTTAGAACTTGGACCTGCAGCCAGCAGCGCAGACACATGGGGGCCACACGCTCTTGAAATTGGCATCTGACGTCAGGACAAGGGAGCAGGCAGTCTTGTAGGTTCTGCCACTGCTTCAGGCTGAGGTGCACATCACCAGCTGGTGTCGGGGAATTGAAATCAGTGCTCAGAAAGAAAACCAACAGCAGGACTTCAGGAGATGTTGCTGGATTAACTCCCTGAGATGGAAATCAGTTCTGCTCCAGGGTGGGGTCAGAAACCCTGCAGGCTCCAGGCCAGTGAGGCTCCTAGAGTTCTGCAGGGGTGTTATCCCTGCAGCCACCCAGACATTGCAGATGGGTGGCCCCTAAAGGAACCCAGGCTCCCTCTTCCAGGGAGGCATAACCACCTGACACAGCTTAACAAGGAAGTGCCTTCGCTTGCCTCTAAACATCTTAACCAACACAACCAGGGAGATGTCAAGGCGGGAGGTAGGTTCCTAGTGAGGGACCCTCACGTAACACCCATCAGAATGCGCCCTCCCATGAACTCCCACTCCAGAGCAGGGGCAGGTATCCTCGCCTCAGTCTTCCTCCATAGCTTT